TGTGTGTGTGTGTGTGTGTGTGTGTGTGTGTGTGTGTGTGTGTGTGTGTGTGTGTGTAGTGCTTGAGCCAGATAGCATAGTGGTCATGGATACCAGATCTCTGTGTTAATATTAAATGCTTTTAGGCAGGTTACTTCACATCTCTGCACCTTGTTTCCCCGCATTTGTAAAATAAGAATAGTAAGAGTACTTCCCTTCTTGGTATTATTATTTTTAACCACCCTGTCTCACGTTCTTCCCCAACACTACTGTCTTTGACAAGGAATACAATTAAAAAAAAAAAAAGAAGTACAAAAGAAATTTGGCTGAATTTAGGGTGACTAATTGGTTTCAGTTTTCCTGAGATTTTTCTAGTTTTAGCATTGAAAGCCCCAGGTCCCGGGAACCCATCATCCCTGGGTCATTTAAGATGTTTGTTCTTCTGAGCTGAATTCCTACTTCCTCTTGAGGCATGACTCTCAGAGAGAGCTTGCTCAATATAATAATGTGGAGGGGAAAAGTTTGTTTATTTAGGTAGAACTTAGTTGTTGTTGGTTTTATTTTTGACCCTTATTTTGTGTTTGTTTGCTGTTTTGCAGTGTTCAAAAGCTGAATGAGTTTCTCTTGAGTGATGAGATTGGTGAGGACAGCTGGCGAACTGGTGAAAGTTCTGTTCCTTTTGAGTCCTGTAAGAAACATACCGGAGTCGTAAGTGCTTTTTCTTATATGGAAACTGTGACTAGGGAACAGTCCCAAGAATGGATGGTTTAAGATGGGTGCAACTAGAAGAAATTGTAAGCTTTACTTTTAATTTATATGAAGAAAGATCGTCACCTGCTTCTACAATAAACCTCAGAAATCTAAAATCAATAAACCAGTATGTAAGGCTTATCTTTATAAATCATCAAAGAATTATCCCAAGAGAGACAGCACATGTTCCATTCAAGCAGAAATTAAGAGGTTGTGCCCCAACCTTTATACAAAAATAATACAAAATCAGCTTACAATTCCTGTATCATATACTTATAATACCTTTTAGCTATATTACACTTTTTAATTCAAAAGTGATTTCTGATGCATTATGTCTTTTGAATCACTTAAAATATTATATAACATTACCTATATTTATTTTCCAAATGAATATATTGAGTTTGTATGGTATGTGGTTTGAATAACATCAGAAGATTAGTAGGTGGCAGAGCCAGAATTACAACTTGAGTCTTATAACCCTTGAGCTAGTTTATTCATTCATTACACAAATATTTACTCAGTATCTACATAAGGTTAAATATATGGTCAATATTATTTTGTCATGTATGACATGTAATATGACATAGAGTATGTATTTGCCTGTGTTTCCAGACTTACTGGCTATCCTGTACTTCATGCCAAGACCTAGGGAGGTATCAATGATCTTCTTGTCAAAGAGTTTGCTTTTTTGAGGCGGAAGTGAGATGATAAACAAGTAAAAAAAAAAAGAGAGAGATTTTTGCTGTGGGAAGAAGATAAAATAAAGTATTAGAGAGTAACTGGGGGACTCAAAGAAGGGTGGTCATTCCCCAGAGGGCCCCTTCAAAGAGCCAGCATTTGAGCTGAGCCTGAATGAAGAGTAGGTACCTGTTCTGCAAAGATCTGGGAAAAGAGCATTTCAGGCAGAGAGCTAGTAGATGGAAAGACCCTGAGGTGGGAATTAATTTGGAGTATTCAGGAAACAGAGGGGCACTATGGCTGAAGCCTGGTGAAGAAGGCAAAGAAAGGACAAGTAAGAACAATGGTTAAGGATCTTATAGGTTATAGAAAGAGTTTGGATTTTATTGGCATGCAATAGAAAACCATTGGATGGTTTCAATGTAGGGGCTGATATAATTTTGTTTATATTTTTAAAAGATTACTTTGGCTACTGGGTGGAGAGTAGTCAATGGGGACAAGAGAACAGAAGATCAGTAAAGAAGTCATTATAACAGATGTAAGAAATGATGGTGGTTAGAATTAGCAGTTGTGGTGGACATTGTGAGGAAGCGATTCAAGTCAGTATATATTACTTAGGTTGAGCTGATGAAGACTTGCTAATAGATTAGATGGAGAGAATGAGGCAGAAAAAGGACTCAAGGATGTGTCTTTTTGGCTTGACTGTTGGGTAGATGGTAGAGCCATTAACTGAAATAGGAAAGCTGAGAAATAGGTAGTTGGTGTTGAGGTGGAATCAAGAGGTGTATTTTGCACATGATAATCTTGATATATATTGACACCCAAGAAGAGAAATCAGCATTGGAGATGTAAATTTAAGAATCATTAACCATTAGATAATATTTGAATCAATGGAACTAGACTTCTGAGAGGTTTGTCTGAAAAATTCTGAAGGAAGTCTTTAAAATTAATATGTATATTTCATAACAGTAAAATAGAAAGATGTTATTTTAACATAAGTTATGTTAGTATTAGTTACTCATGTTACTATTAGAGAAAAATATGAATATGTTTTCCATGTATGTAACCAAACAAAAATGCACATGCAATCTCCTGACTGGAATTGATTGAGGCTTGGAAAGCCTTTATCAGGAAGTCAATGCATGTTAAATTTTTCTTTACATTATGTTTTAAAATACTAAAAATAGTTAAGACTAGCACTTGGCTATATTTACATTTGCCATTGTCTTCTGCTGTTCAGAAGTTATTTTTTTACTCTGTTGTTATTTTCTTGAGCAGGTGTGATTTTGTTTGAGAAGGAACTACCTCCCAGGCTTCTATAGATTAGAGTAACCTCCTCAAAATGCTTATTTGCTATTGTGTGGACATGGACACAAAGACAAAAACACATTATAGAGTGTCTACACTTTGAGGCATCAGGAAAGTCAAGCGTTTAATTAGAACCAGCCTTGTCACACTTTGAATGATAAGAGACTAGCAAAGAACTTATTAGATCATCTTTCAGAGATGTGGGGATGAGCAGAGTGAGATGACTTCGAGAAAGGGGATGTAGGAGGTCAAGTTTGTAGAGTTAAGGAAATCTGAAGAATCTTTTGTATGAGATGAGAGATAGAAGAAAAATTGAACCGAGAAAAGATTTTTGGAAGGAGAAAAGAATCCTCTTCAAATGCATCCAATATCTTTAGGGTTATTGAAACCAGACTGGACTTCTGATGTCTTTCATGTCATTCATCACTGCTGATGGGCCAAACCACAAATGACAAACTTTTAAAAATGGAGTAAAAAAAGCTGTGTGTTTGAAAATAACGCTAATGGAAACTCCTTCTTGAGAGCATTTAAGATGCTATGTATTCTGTAAAAGCTTAGTTAAGTGGTTTTGGCTGTAGAATTTCCATGGAGAATTAGTGACATTTTAGAGCCAAAGTCTCTTCAAGTTACATCTGTGGAACTCCAACTCAAATCTCTGTCAACACTTAACCTCCTCCCACCCCCTTCTTCATTTTGTGAAGAACGTGAAGTCATTCCTTTTGGACCCCTGGGGGCAATAATACTGTAGAATTACTCTAGAAGACAGTGAATATATGTTTAGGTAGAGACTGGTCTTGTGTGGAAAAATATACTTAGCTTAAAGAATAGTGACTTTCTACAGCATCTCATGTAATGCACTTTCAGGGTCATCTGCGAGGACTGTGAGAAGAAAAACAACACTAAAATAAAATTTCATGAGCACTCCCTCTCCTATTTTTTAAGTTAAAATGCATTAAGTATTTTCTGTGGGACAGAACCACTGCTAATTCTTCTCAGTGGTTTTTTAATCTGTGAATTCATTTGCATGTAGACTAGAAATATATTATTTGATAGTTTGATGTTCTGTTAAAACACCAATTGATGGAAATTGGAAGAGCAGTATCTTGTTTGGATTAAATTGTTGATTATTTGAGGACATTCCTAATTGCCGTAGTAGAACTCAATGGGTTTTTCAGAAAGCTAAACCTGTAATGCCAGCCATGCCCCCCCCCGCATCCCCATCCCTCTGCCCCATGCCCCAAGTTTCACAATTCTAGAATCCTTTGCTTTTATAGGTAATTTAACAGTTTTAAAGTGTATTATAATTTAGGCTTCAGAATCTTTGTAAGATATTTAAGTAAGACATGTAATTATTTATGTTGAAATATTTGCTCACTCATTTCCTGGGACAAATTTCCAGCTTATGAATTTTTCTATATTAGAAGTTTACAGAGCTGAATTTTCTACCTTGTCTTTAGCCATTTGTCTGTATCTATGTGAAATTAATTTCAAAGTTGCAGAATAACAAATTTCTAGTTACGACCTAACTTAAGTTCATTTTAAGTATATGAAGACTGTCAACCTTAGCTGGCATCTTTATTATTCTTTAGCCCTTTGACTAGGAACTATGCTATACCATTTGAGAAAGAGTTGCTCATTTCACAATGCTTGTGGGTCTCCTTATGAAACAGTATACATGTTTGGGCAAAAGCAATCCTAGACTTTTATGCTTTTTCTCCCTCCACCACGGATCAGGTAACATGTAGCCCAATATGATTTATGTGTATGAGATTCAAAATCCTCATGATTCATTGGGTGATCAAAAATGTACAGTTTATAAGCCCGATGGCCTAACGAGTAGATGCAGGTTGAATCTGAAGTAGTCTGCTTGCCTTTTGACATGACGTCCAGTTTTTCCTTGCCTGTGTATATTCATCCAGACAGCTGGAGAAAAAATATCCCAAACCTAGTTTGGGGCTCGGCATTTTAATTTCCATCATTTGAAATGATCACATCTCCCTATTTTCATTTTTCTTAAAAGGCTTGTAAATTAGGTTTAAAATTATAGCTGAACACTTTTTTGTTATTATTTGCCTTTTTGTGGGGAGACGCCATTGTAATAATTTAAATAGGGAATTCAGTTTACTTGTGTCTTTTTCTTGGAAGTCAAGTGGGGAAGTAGCAATGTGAGTTCAGTAAAACCTCATTTTTTTTCATAAAGCATCAACTTGTGTTCTTTTCCATTTGGAATGCAGCAGCCGAAAACTATAAACAGGAAGCAGCCTGGAAGATATCACCTGGACAGCTATGAGCAATCAACACGACATCTTCGTCCTGTAGAGACAGAGGATATTGCAATAAAGGTTCTTTCCCTTCCTGGAATCCTACATGAATAGAAACATTTGTGAAGCTCGGCAAAAGTGTCCTAAACCACGTCTTTAAATTCTCTTTACAGTGATCATTAATCCTTATACCATTAAAAAATATTCTAGTGAGCTTATAATTCTCAGTTCTCCCTCACCTCCCAACTACAGTTTTTTCTCTAGCAGTGTGTTCTAATAGCTGGAGAATGAGCCTTTCTTCCAAATCTGCGTTAGCAGCTACTATCCAATGTGTTTCCCTCTTGAACCCTTACGTTTATCTAACAAGTTAATTAATTTATAGAGGACACCAATACTATGACTCCAATTTTTAAGGAAATAAATTAGTAATTATCTTCAACCAGGAAAGGTTTAGACCAGTGTTGCATGCATTCATCCAGGTTCCCAATGCTGCCTTTGCTCTCATTTCAAACTCAGCCCTTTGTACTCTCCTCAAGCATGGATGCTTACGTAGAACAGACCACCAGAGGAATGCAGGATGAGGCCTGACAGTAGTGATAAGCCCCAGGGAGGGGTAAGTGCTGTGCTTGGACTGGAAAAGATGCCTGCAGCCGTGGAAGTCCGCTGGACTTCCGAGTCATGAGAGTCTAGGGAACTTGGTGCTTTGGCTGCTCCAGATTGTCAGCTCCCTGCACTGCCAGCCAATTGCAGAGGGAGGCTCAGCGGGGCGTGCAGTAGAGCCAAAGGCTACATTTAGTTCTTCTGTCTCTCTCCTTATTGCTTGGCACAACACCTGTCCCACAATGAGCACTTATAATTGGAGCCAATGTATTAATGGATGGAGGAAGCTAATGCTAGCCCTACCTCTGCCATTCATTTGATGTGGGACTTTTGGGCAAATTACTCTGCCTCTCTGAGCTGTGATTTGCACCTCTTGAGGTGGGAATGCCATTTTAGTGTGGCTGTTTGGAGGATAAAATATGTCACCTATGAATGTTAAAGGGCTGTAGTGATTCTTAACCTTGTCTGTACATTAGAACCACATACAAATGTCTGTACATTTGTATATATACAAATGTGTGTGTACATATACATATACATATAGTATATATAATGCCTGCACACCATTTAAAAAATTTCTTCTAGTAGTTTCCTAGACAATTATAAAGTCCAACTAGGTTGGGAAATACTAGGCTATGAAAAAGTAAGTAATGAGAGAGACTAGAAAGGGTTCTCTATGCTTCTAATTCTCAAATATCCCCAGAATTTATTTATTCATCCTACTTTTGATGGGCTTTTGCTATTTTTCAGTTTGGGGCTATTGTGAACAGTTGCTGAGTCATAGGATCTGTACATTCTCAACTTTCTGAGATGATGGCAAACTCTTTTCCAAAGTGGTTGTGCCAATTTACATTTTAACCAAAGTGATCAAGAATTCCAGTAGCTACAGTAGCTCTTCAAGTGTCCGCATCTTCACCAATGCTTCCAATATTTTGCCAAAGTTTGTGTT